GCCACATTGCCACGAGTTGTCTTGAGTCGCAGGGCAGATGTTAATTTGAAGAATACCAAACATGTTTCCATATATTATTGTATGGTGGTAGTAGTTTTGAAACGGAAAATAGGTAATGCAGTCGATTGTTATAGCAAATATAACTTTGCTTCACCGACATTGCCATCACAGAATGTGATAGTGGAAAATGCCTGGCCTTCCTTAAAAGTCACATCTGCCATTTGACCCACGGACACTCATGGCAATGCGGCATAGTGGTTAACGTGCCGAGATTATACGTTGCACTGTCATGGTTCGACTCCTGCTGGGGATGCATATAAGACCTAAGCGAGGTCTAAACAGTAGTCCACCTCGGATGAAAGTTTTTTTCGGAAATTTCAGTGGAAACGTAAGGTCTACTGATATCATTGTGGGATAATTCAACTACCATTCCTTCATCACCTTAAGCTAAATAGGATAAATACATCTCATATCTGAGTTACTAGTCTTTTTGAAACTCTACTTACAAGCGAAAGACAACACCTATATTCCTATTACTTGGCTCTGGGCACATTTCATATTTATACAGCCTCTACATTATATTCTTTCCTCTTCTATTTTACTATTCCATCTCAGGTCAGGTCCCTTGTATCATCGTCTATAAGTTAGATTACAATGAATGCTTTCCTTCATTTTGTGAATAGGGAAAATAGCTATATTGAAATCTTCGACTTTTCCTCTATGTTTGGGTGCGCGATTCATATTTTCGAGTCGAAAGTGTTCTTTAAGAAGTCAGTACACATCTTAATTCTATGAGATTCAAGTTGTTTCACCACCCATAAGGCGAGCTTGTGAAAATGAAATGTAATTATAGAAATTATTTGGCAAAGGGCTGTAGAATATTTGTGTTTTCATATGCTGTCTGGTCAGCTTCATGCTCAATACTTACTCTATCCCTAGGATGTGCCTTGAAAATGAGGTATCCGTATAAATTTTTTTCAGCTCTTCTTTTTTTTATCTGCATTGTGGAAGCAACTAGGTAAATATTTAATGTCCTTAAATGAAGATTAATTGATAAAAATTTCCGGAGAAGCTATATATATAGATATATCGAGAGATAGATAGAGAGAGAGAGGAGCAACTTCCTGTGTTCGAGTCTTTCTATTTATTTCAACTTCACTTTAGTATTAAATGTATCCTTCTCCAATAGCAGTTGGATTAAATTCTGGCTTCTTGTCTCATTTCCGCCGAAATTCCAGTCTCTTTTTATTTACTTTTTATTTTTAACTAGAGTGCCTTTTCTTCCGCCGATACGTATCTAAGCTTCTCTCGGATCGCCTGTTCACCCTCTTTCTGGCTCATGCTTCCTGTTTCACTGGCTGCCTCTTTGTTACCCAACTGGCTCTGGCGCTTAGCATCCGAGGCCTGGTGGGCACGAGCCATTCGGCGGCTCGACAAGACACGCCGACTTGCTGCCAAACAATCGCCGTTCCGACAGACTAGCAGCAATACTACGTCAAGAATCATGAGCAACGCTCCCCAAAGACTTATTTCGTCCTGTAGAACCTTGGACGGCATCAGCGAGATTTCAGGCACCGACGATGGTGGTAGTCAAGACAATCAAGCTTTTGAAGGGAAACTTGAACTTGATCCATCTAGCTATAGGCAGTTAACCTCATTAATACCGACAGATGGCTCTAGGGCATTCCAAAGAGTCAGCTATTTGCGACGTCCTTCCTCTCCTTCAACTGAGCATACCATCGTTACCTCTCCCACTGTCATTTCTCCTTCGTGCCAGCAATCCGCAGAATTGCACCCCCCAGTTTGGGTTCATCATCACTCTGAAATTGATTTATGCGAGCTAGAAAAGTCATGTGAACCAGAAGTTGATCCGCAAAAATGTTCCTCTATGTTATTTGAGAAGCCAAATTCACCGTTGTAGAGTCTCATCGGGGTGAGTTTCATCTCGTTAGACCTGAATATTTAATCGAATTATAAAAATTCCGTAATTTAAACGTAGATACGAAGACTAGGATATTGTAGCCTCTATTTTGATCACAGTATTCTTTCGATGTACACTAGTCATTTGACCTTGTTCTCGCAACTTGTTCAAATTAGCAGGAAGACGTAGATGAAAGAATTTTGTCCGGAGTCCATAGTATGTATGATAAATTCCAGAGTCCAACAGTGGGTGTGGTACATTCCCAAACGTTTCGCCGGCATCGTCAGTGAGTCTTGCCATTTTCAGCACCAAACTACAACTCGTCAAAGAAACAAAGTCAAGGAGAGAATAGGAAGAATCACTGAGTAAGAGGAGAAGACTTAACTAAGCTAGAGTTATGAAGTCTGCGCTTATAAGGAGTCTAGCAGATGCAAACCATAGGGACCAAGAGATTGGTAGATTAAGGAAAATACTGTTTCAAAACAATTACCCATTTGGATTAGTAGACAATTACATATAAATTGTAGTTAATAAGATTAAGGGAGTTTGCTAAAAGGCGCGAGATATAAAACTGGTCAATTATACTTTGTTCCTGATTTTGCCTTCTTGTAAGCTTGCGAAAAGATTGGGTGAACTACTGAGGAAATGGAACATGAAAACAATGTATAGAGAGAAATTAACACTTTCTTTAGTAGTTCCTTCGTTTAGATAATATTCATACCCTTTTTCTAGATCAAGCTGCTACAAGATTTTGTGCTCATGCGGTAAGGTATATGTGGGGGAGACCTGCCAACCCATTCACAAGAGACTATGCAAGCACAAAACCTCTCGTAAAGATCTGTGGATCCGAAAATCTGAACTCACTGAACACATTTTGCAAAAACGGGATACTCAATAGGTGTAAGATTAGGGAGTCTAAAGAAATTTAAAAACAGCTAACTTCCTGAATAGATAATACGAGCCTATAAAACTAAGTAGGAACCTTTTGTGGCTGTTTGATAGACTTGAGGAAAGGGAGAGAGAGGGGTGCAGGAAGAGCCACTGAGCAAAAGAAGGAGGCTTTATTAGCCTCGTGTCTAGCTAGAACTATCACATAACTCATGACAGCAGCATTACATACACACAATAGACAATAGCACAAGCCCAAACATGTTTCAGCATTAGGCGATCGCACGCTCGTTTTTGTGTGATAAAACAGCTGTCAACAAACGCATTTTCAGTTCGGGAAGTTAACTTTACTTATTTGCAAGCATGTAGAGTAAGGCTAAAAAACCAAACAGCTACAGTACAACGCGATTCAACCGTTCTCTTCTGGTGAGATCAACCTACAAATCTCTTTTTCATACACTTTCACACGAAATGAAAGTTCCAGGAGATTCATCGAAACCCAGTTATTCTTCATATAAAATATTCTTGTTAGCTGGTATGTGGCTAAGAGTGTTAGTTATAAACCTTATTATCTTCCCCAAAGAAGGTTGAATTTCATTACCAATTCTCTTTCAATACAATTGTGTTTCTATTAAAAGGGTTTAAGACCTTGTATATTGATGCTTTATCTATTCGTTTGCTGTTAATACGTTTTTCTATATAATCTTTTAGATGCCTATCTATTTCACTTAAGTGGATGTAACGACTGATGAAATGAGTAGGCTTCGCGACATCAATTGATTTCATACATATTAGCCTCCTAAAAGGCCTTCTTAACCAAATTCCTCCTTGCCTGGAT